TACTTCCTTACACTTCTCACCTTTCTTCCGAGCAGGCTTTTCCTCCTCACACCGCAGGCCTCCAGCAGTATCCTCCCTTTGAGGGCCAGCTCTACCAGCATACAGCCGCGCAGACCGGAAGAAATACAGTCGTTCCAGAAAGACGTGTAGCCCTGAGACAGGAAGATAGATAAAAAAAAAAACACACACACAGTTGCTTACTTTAGCTGACGTGTTGAGCCAGTTCTGGTACACCTCCAGGTTGCAAAAGTACCTCCTCGCACTTGGCAAGTTGTCAAGAAACTGCCCAGGTAACGCAAACAAAAGAAGCCGTGTAGCTAATGACGTCAGCCAGCAAAGGATACTAACTTTCATCCGGTAACTTTATCAACAGGCTGCTAAAAAAAAATCAGAGCAACGCCAAAATGTTGCCCAAGTTAGGACTGTTTGACAACTGACACGTCGCACTTTCGCATCGTTAATTGGATAACACTTATAGATTCCAGAGATGCTTCAAGCTGAATGCACTAAAGCAGAAAACCGGTTGAATAAAGGAAGTTTTCTGCGTGTTGACGTTCAGCTGTGACGCAAAGTAAACACTATGCTAGACAATGTTGGGCTACACGGATAAGTTTACTAGGAAAACACGACACAAACAGCCGCACACCTCTCGATCCTTGAGGCCCAAAAGCAGCACTTCTTCCATGAGCGTGAGCCTGGTTTCCTTCGAGTCCCCCTTCTCATCGTCGTCCTCTTCTTCCCCGCGGCGCGCCTCGTCTTCCTCGCTGCCGGAGTCCTTCTCGGCGGCGGCGCTTCGAATGGCCTCGGTCTTCCGCTGGACAAGGCCCGAGGTTCTCTGCGTGAGAGAAGTCATAGCTGGGGCGGGGGGGGGACGACGGAATCCGGAGACAAGCGCCTGCTTCGATTAGAGGGAGAGACTGTAACGCGAGTGTCAATGGTGGCAACGGGGAAAAGGCCGAGTGCGAGGAAACCGCCGTTAACGCTGAGCTTCGCTCCGGATTCCTGCAAAGACTCAGCCTACTTCCGGATCCAACATGGTGGCGATGACGTGACGTAGCGTCTGAGCGGCGAACGCGTCTTGTGTTGCCTTCACGGTCGTCGGAAAAAGCGCCACACCTGAGCAAAATGCGTCCGGAGGGCGAGAAGCGGCCCTTGGAACGGCTCCATCCGGTCCCAGTTGTCTTCGCATGAAAATAAATAAATAAATGATAATACTTAAAAAAAAAAAGTTTTTGGAGGCAAGTGAAAACATTGCAAAGCTGGTTGTAGTTACAAGAGCTTGTTCCAGATTCATCCATCCATTCATTGTCTTTACCCACTTCTTCCTTTTTGAGTCGCTGGTGTCCATATCCAGCCATCACTGTGCAAGAGCTGGAAGACACCCTGGACAGGTCTCCAGTCCATGGCAGGGCCGCATACTGATGCATGATCAATAATCCAGGCAGAAGAGACAACCATTCCCACACACACATGCACACATACTTGGGGTACACTGTCCAAAGAAACTGGAGACTGTGGTAAAGAGGTGAAAAAGAGCATCCAGGCAGGGTGGAGTGGATGGACAAAAGTTTCGGGAGTGATTTGAGACAAAGTCATCAAAGGTCAAAGGAAAAGCAAGACAGTGGTGAGACCATGGTGTATGGTCTGGAGCAGGGGCGATTCTAGGATCTGACCTTTAGGGGTGCTTAGCCCCCAGTATTGACAATGGCTCTTGGCTTGAACAACGCACCCCATGGTGTGGTTTGTGAGAAGTGCAAAGGCTTACTGCACCTGTTATTACCTGGCAGTCTACCATCCAAGTAACTGGGCCTGACCCTGCTTAGCTTCTGAGATGAGGTGTGTTCAGGGTGATATGATATAAACAAAGAGCTCAGTCACAAATAGGACTTTTAAAGGATCATAGCAAACAAAGACAAAACTTATACAACCAGAAGTTGCAGCATATATCTACATATAAAACACACAAAACAAAGCACAACTAGCTTTAAGCATTAACCTTTAATTTAACCATTAAGCATACAATGTAATTATGACAGAAAATGGAGGATTTACCTGCAGTTATCTTTGTACAGACGAACATGTGCTACTTCCTGTTTGTATTCAGCAGCTCATGAGGTCATTTGTCAGCATATATCCATCTTTTACATTGTTCCAGACTCTGTTTAGTTTTGGAAATTTAATAAACTGCATTCCACCCTCTAAACACTCAGGGTAACACGTGTCTGAATTACATGTTCTCCCCTGATAACGTTTAACCATTTTTTTTTCTGATGATTTTTCACAAAATCTCTCTGACCGCAAAGCGTTCATAGTGCAAACCCCGATAATGTTTCAGGAAAACGCGGTGCAGCTTCTGCAGGCCAGGGGCATTTCACTTCGAGACAAGCTGAGATCGCTGATTGGTCAGTTGCTGCTGAGCCTCATGGACTGATTGACAGGTGATGTCAAGGCTCCGACTCATGCAAAAGAATTAGATTTTACTGGCCCGTTTAAGAGCGTCATCAGTTATTCCATATTTATTCTAAATGTATTAAATATTTTGGTGAGTCTAAGATATGAGCACTGAGCTTCTTTACAAAATCATAATGGTGATTTTTTTTTATTTCCAGGGGTACTGTGTAAAAATTTAGGGGTGTTTGAGCACCCCCAAAAAGAGGCTAAAATCAACACTGGTCTGGAGACAGTGGCGTTGACAAAAAGACAGGAGAAAGAACTGGAAGTGGCAGAAATGAGGATGATGAGGTTCTCCTTAGGAGTGACAAGGATGGATAAGATTAGGAATGAAATCATCAGAGGTACAACACATGTTGAACAACTGGGAGATAAAGTTAGAGAGACCAGACTGAGATGGTTTGGACATGTCCAGAGGAGGGACAGTGGGTATACTGGTAAAATGATGTTAGAAATGTAACTGCCAGGAAAACGATAGAGGAAGGCCAAAGAGGAGATATATGGATGCAGTTAGAGAGGACATGGAGGTAGATGGAGTGAGGACAGAGGACAGAGTGAGATGGAGGAGGATGACTCACTGTGGAGACACCTGAAGCTGGAAAAGCTGAAAGAAGAAGAAGAAAGAAGATATATATATATATATTACTGCCTGCAAGTGCTTTGTGAAGCTTTATTGCAGATCAAAGTTATGAGCATTTTTTACCACACAAAATATGCAAATAAGAGCTTGTAATAGTTATATTTATGATGACATTAAAACACACAAATTAGCATGTAAATGTTTGTAACACACATACTGAAAAACCATTTTATGATATCTCTGTAGCAGTGAGGTGAGGGGCTGCGTGATGGAGCTGCTGGTTAACGCTGCATGCCTCACAGCAAGAAGGTCATGGATTCAAGGGTGTCTAGGGCCTTTTTGTGTGGAGTTTACATGTTCTCCTCACACATGCATGGGTTTTCTCCAAATACTCCAGCTTCCTACCACAATGAATAATCTGTCACAAAGTGGAGATTTTAAATTACTCTTGCCCATGAGTGATTGTGTGGCCCTGAAATGGACTGATGACCTGTCCATGTTGATTCTGCCTCATACTCTTTGATTAGTAGAGCAAGACATCATGCTTTAAATCATTTGTATTGTTTAAAATCAAATCAAAATAATTGAACATGATATGCAGCGCATGCTGTCAACACAAGGTGGCAGACATCACCTGAGAAATAAGACGTTTTTGTCTTAAGTTTGCTTATCTACACAATCTCTTTTAATAAGTTTGTGTTTTGGTGTGGTGGTGGGACATTGCAACCAGTGAAAAAACAAAAAATATATTAAATTTAGATAAACCGGAGAAAAAAACAAATCATAGCTCAATGTTATTTATTTGTGTGGGAATCTCAATCTAAAATGCACATTGTTGGCTTCAGATACTGAACGTCCATTATTATAGGATCACTTCATCATTTGTGGACGTCACTAATAAACTTCAAAATGTCATCCAACTTCCTTTCAATGCTCTTTTCATTTGGCCCAAGATCATTTGAGGGAGCAACAGAATTATGTGACATGAACAATGAGTCACCATGTTTCTCAGTGATGTAAATTATTATACTTTCAGAGGATATACTGCATGTGAATGTTACTGCAGTGAGAAAAAGATCTAAAATTATCACTTTCCTGTGTCTTTTATAGCTTTTTGTCAGATAATAAACACTACTGTATGTACCGTATTTTTTGCCATATAAGTCACACCTTTTTATATAAATGTGCAAGTCCTGTGACTTATACACTGAAGCGACTAATATATGTTTTGTTTCCCATATTTATAACCTAAATTTGTGCCTGAGATCTGACGATTTCATTCATTCTAACATAGAAAATATTGAGCACTACAATTTTCAGCTACTAGAGGGCCCTTGAGTAATATGGCAAGACAAGTGTCTCATTAATAGTGAAAAGTGGCTATTAATGACACATTTGGCTTGCCATAATGACCACTCGCCGAAACTCCTGGAGCAAACGTCAAATCAGCTGCATTTTGCCGTGTTGCCCATGCAAAATGCAGCTGATTTGATCGTTAAAGTGCATTTATTAAGGAAAAGTTCAACTGAGACACACCTTTACTATAATGTCAAGCAAACAAATAATTATTTTTAGGCGGTTATCTTGTTAAATTTCGTCGAAATGCACAGCGAGTCCTCCCTCTGCGCGCTCCTACTTCCGCGAATGGGCTTTTGAAATGCAGCTGATTTGACCGACAAAGTGTATTTATTGAGGAAAGTAAAACTGAGACACACTTTGCTATACTGTTGGGCAAACAAATAATTGTTTTTAAGTGTTAATCTTGTTAAATTCTTGTTAAAGTCCTCCTGTGCACGCTCCCGCGGCCGCCATTTGGCAGCCAATCGATTTTTGGCACAACACCGGCCTACGTTTCCGGGTTGTCAGCGGTGACGCATAATAGATGTGACATATGGTGAAGTGACGTATTTATGTTTTTTTTCCACTTTATTAGACATATTTGGACTGATGTGACTTATACGGCGGTGCAACATGTACTGCGGCAAGTACGGTAATCAATTATCTGAGAATAAATAAATAAATACTTGATGCGGATAAAAAAAGAGTTTATAAGACCAAACTGATGCTTTAGCTTAAGTGGAGAGAACATTTATTTTGTTGTTCAGTCTTTTGCTTAATTAAACTCAAAAAGAGCAGCTGATGCTTTTTAATACTGAATCCACCACAAACTGTGAATAGGAATTCACAGTTTGATTGTTAAAATCTCAATATTGTGTTTGTGAGTGAGACATCCATTAACAAAGAATAATATGAAACTAAAATTTGTGTTGAGGTTCTATCAATATTAATTGATCAAGAATACTTTTATTTATTTTTAGAGTATGGTTCTTGTCAACTTACGGAGTATTTGAGCTTTTCAAACAATAAATAAATTACGATCCAACAAGCATGAACAAAAAGCGTGCTTTGTCTTGGCACTGATACATAATAGAGCAAATGTTGGTCCAAAACAAAACAAAAAAAAAACATTTTTGAAAGATACTTTTTAATATTTCTATGGTTGTTGAGTAAAACGTTATTACCAATAAACAACCAGTCAATGAAAGCAAAGTCTCTCAAATGTGGAGTTTTGTCCGTCTTTTTTATTACTACCATTATAACAGAGCCAAATCATTGCTTTTATATTTTATATTGCTTTTATATTGGCTCTGTGCTTTATGTCTACATCCAGTTTTAACCTGTCACATGCAACTAAAATACATCGCAGAATAACTGGTCACATTCTTTGTCTATTTTTGAGAGAGAGTTAACAATAAAATGAAACCAGTTCAAGTTAAACTAGCATTCCTTGAGGAGATACATATCACCCTCTACCTTGCATGACAAAGATTTGAGCAAAAGGTCTTGCTGAATCTGTTGGCACTTGTCTGGCATGACTCAGCTACCTAAAAATAATTGTAATTATTTATTTGTTGTAAATAGGTAAGCTACAATTAAAATAAGAGATAAAAATGAAATATTACATTAACATTTATTGGAAAATTTAGAAGAAATATCAAAAACATTTGAAATTAATAAATATAAT